TTGCACGGCATGGCATTGCATGGTTTCTTGCATCGTATTGCATAGAAGCCAGGAGCTCACCGGATCCCCAGGAAACCCTGGGAGCGCGGAGGCTTTGGTGATCGCAACGGGCACTCTTGCATTAAAGGAGCGTCGTCTTTCCGTCTCCAGCCTCACGCCCTCTCATTTGTGTGTTTCAAGAGACGAGTTCAGGGGATTTCTGCATCGAGCTGCGTTTCGGAATTCTCTGGGACGGCCGTGGCCCCCGACAGCATCTGCAGACCCATCCGGATGTCTCCTCTTGCCCGTGGCGGCCGTCGAGAGCACAACCCGCTTGGAGGCGAGGCTCGCGAGAGGCCTCGCCCAGCACCGTGCCCTCTCCAGACACAAGTCCCCCTCCCAATCGACCTCAGAAGAAGGACATCGAAGAGGAGGAGGAGGAGGAGGAGGACCAGTGTAAACCCAAGGCTCATCAACGACGTTAGAATGCACCCTCCCTCCAAGCTCCCTCTTCATAGGCCGCCGCATGGTTCACTTCCACGGGCGGAGGTGCCCCGATGGGGACAACCGTGCGAAAATCCTGAAGCGATCCAAAACACCATTCTCATGACTCCAACGCCACGAGTCAATCTGACTGTTGCGTCTGGACGGTCCTGAATCGCACAAGCACCACCATTCGTAGGGCTCCGACACCGCGAATCAATTTAATTATTGCGCCCTGACAATGCTGAGTCGCTCCAAAACGCCATGTTTGGTACGTTAACCATGGGAGCCAATGAAACCCTTGCAACAGTTTAAGAAGAAGGTTCGCGGCGCTAAGGCGAGAACCACATGTTGAAAATTACCCGTGAAGCTCTGGCAAATTTAAAAATCGAATGTGCGTGGCGCTATAGCGAGATCCACATGTTGAGAACCACCCGCCCTCACTCGGCATAACCTTTTGCAACTTTTGACAATCAATGTGCGCGGCGCTGAGGCGAGAGCCCCTTTTTGGAAACGGCCTGTCTTCAATCCGTGAAGCTCTCGCAGGTTTTTAAAACGAGTGTGCGCGGCGCCGAGGCGAGAGTCGCATTTTGAAAACGACGTGCCCTCAATCCGCGAGAGTCTTTCAAATGTGTAGCAAGAATGTGCGAGGCGCTAAGGCGAGAGCCACATTTTGGAGCCGACCCGCCCTCCATCAGCGAAGCAGTTGCCATATTTTTCGCTCCAGGCTCGTAAGTGGTAAGGGAAGTGCCAGGCGAAACGCCCGACCCGCCCTTCCGACTGGTCTCGGGGTGCGACGGGGAGTTGTTCATAAGGAAAAGGTGCGGGGGAGGAGGAGGGAGAGGAGGCGGGGGACAAGCTAGGTGCGCTCGCGTCGTATCTGACACCCTACCCTTCCGTCCCATCCCTTACCATGGCGTAGATCTATTCGCACAATCGGATGCCGCAGCATGGCACAGCATTAAAGGGCATAGCATGGTGTCGAATATCAACGCGTAGCATGATATAGCATGGCGTGGCGACGCCACAAAGTGGGGAGGGGTTCTGCGGCCCAAAAAATCAATGATTCTGCACCGAATGCGTAATCACTTCCGATGGTTCTTCGGGAGGCCATTTTCTGCATCCGTAAGGGTTTCGCCCCCTGCCGCCGTCCCCCTCTCTCGGAGAATGCGCTATGCAAGAGCTATGTCATGAGGCCTGGGCGCTGTCGTGAAGCAGTATCGGAACTTCATGCGAGGCCGACTCGCAATGAGCAAAACCAATCGATGACCAGAGCGGTTACCACACCTGGCGATTGGCAAGACGTCGTGACTCTGCCGATCTGCGTGAGGGGTGCCGCCGAATTTCAGAAATGTGGCAAATCCCTTGTGTTTTTGGACCCTGACCCCGCCGATCTGCATGAGGGGTGCCACCGAAGTTCAGAAATGTAGCAAATCACATATGTTTTTGGACCCTGACCCCGCCGATCTGCGTGAGGGGTGCCGCCGAAGTTCACAAATGTGGCAAATCCAATGTGTTTTTGGACCCTGACCCCGCCGATCTGCGTGAGGGGTGCCACCGAATTTCAGACATGTGGCAAATCCCATGTGTGTTTGCTGTCTGACCCCGCCGATCTGCGCGAGGGGTGCCACCGAATTAAAAACAAATTGCAAGTCCACTGTGTTTTTGGACCCTGACCCCGCCGACCTGCATAAGGGGTGCCACCGAATTTCCGAAATGTGGCAAACCCCATGTGTTTTTGGACCCTGACACCGCCGATCTGCGTGAGGGGTGCCACCGAATTTCCGAAATGTGGCAAATCCAATTTGTTTTGAAACCCTGACCCCGCCGATCTGCGTGAGGGGTGCCGCCGAAGTTCAGAAATGTGGCAAATCCAATGTGTTTTTGGACCCTGACTCCGCCAATCTGCGTGAGGGGTGCCACCGAATTTCCAACATTTGGCAACTCCCATGTGTTTTTGCACCCTGACCCCGCCAATCTGCGTGAGGGGGGTAAATTTTTATTTACTCCAGCAATTCAGACAATTCGTTTTGGCCGTGGTAAAAATGCCTGTTTTGGGCCTCCCCCCCTCGCGCGGTCCATCAACAAGGAACAGTAAGCAGCAAGAAGCAGAGCTGCAACAAGGAACAGTAAGCAGCAAGAAGCAGAACTGTGGCAGTGGAAACTGGAAGCTGCAACTGGCACAGGAAACTGCGAACCTCCGGCCTACAGCCTGGTGGCCCCACAAGGGGGCCGGCGGATTTTTTATATTTTCATTTGGAAGGACCGAAAACCATGCCGTGGCATGGCGCTGTAAATATTGACGCCAGCGCTGCAGCAGGAGCACGATTCGGAAAGAGCGGAAGCGCGGAAATGAGGCCAACGTTGCAGCTGGAGCACGATCCGGAACGAGCGGTAGCCCGAAAATGAGGACAGCGCTTCAGCGAGAGCAGCTTTTTGAACAAAAGCAACAACCCAACTCCCGGGAATCCTGTGTGTAAAAAACCAGTACGTGGAGGGGGGTGGACATTCCCTGGACGCCACTAGGGGAGAGATGAGAGTAACATTCATGTTTTGTAACTGTGGAGGAGCAGGAGCAGGAGGAGCGGAGGGGAGGAGGAGGAGCAGGAGTAGGAGGCAGGGCGGGGATGAAGGAGGCACCCCTGCGTCTCCCCTGCGACTTCCCTGGCCGAGATGCCCCCCCAGTCGCCTGCGAGCTCCCCCCTCCTCCCCTCTCTTGACGCGCGAGGCCGGCAGCCGGGTCCGCGTCCTGAGCGGCCGGCACTTTCCGCTCTTCGCCGCCGGAGACGAGGCCTCGGGGGCAAGCTGCAGGAGCAGGGGTGGGAGGAGGAGCGCGCGGACGAAGGCGGGCGAGCGAGCCGAAGGGGACACGTTTCCGCCCGCACCGCATTCTCCAAGAGAGCCTCCAGCAAGGCGCCACGGCGGGATGATCGTCCTTCCTGCCTTCGGCCTCGTCCAGGCGGTGGTGCCCTGCGAGCCGCCAGGAGGAGCAGAGCAGGACGAGTGCGCGCCCGCGCGCGAGGCAGGACACATTAACACCCCCTTTTCCAGCACGCCTCTCCACAGGATTGGTGAGGGGGCTTTGAGCCTTGGGCTGTGGCCTCCAGTCTAGGTGCTGCTCCTGCTCGTGTTGTCGCCCGTTCTCATCCCCCCTGAATCATGGGCCTCCTCGTCCCCACGCAACAGGACTCGTCTGAACGGTTCTCGCGAGGGTCCTGGGGATCAGCTCTGAACATGCTTCCACCTGGGAGGGCGACGACCGAGGCAGGTGTGAGGAAGTGAGGCTGGCGTTCTGGTGAGGCGTCGAGCGTCCTTCTGGGGCCTGGCCCTGACACATAGTTGCACAGCAACTCATCGGCGCAAGGGCAGGGATGCATCGTGTCGAGCCAAGGGTTGTCCTATGACTGCCATTGCTTGCCAGCCTTCTGCTTTAAGCACATGAACGCGCCAACGGAGGTACCCATGGCAAAGTATCACGGGTGTCTGATGCGTTGGCCATTGCCGAAAGCATTGGTCCGAGTTATTCTAGACGCTTCGCGGAACCCTATCAGCCCCCTGATCAGATATGTGGGGGAGCACACAGTGGAGTAAAGGCTGGGAAGCCGTCATACCCCAACATGGGGAGAATGGAGGAGGAACCGGAGGAGGAGAAGGAGGAGGAGCAGGTGGTGGAGGAGGAGGAGGGGCGCAGGAAGGAGGGAGGAGGGAGAAGGGAGAAGGGAGAAGGGAGAAGGAAGGAGGAGGAGGATTACGCGGATGCGGAGGGCGAACAGGAAGGCCAGAAGCCTCTTGGATGTTTCTCGGAGTCCCTTCGGATGTCTCAAGAGCTTCTTGTGGGCCTGTTGGTGCGTCTTGGGGGCCTCTTGGCGGCCAGGGAGGCCTCTTGAAGCGTCTTGGGTGCTTCGGGGGGCGCCTCTTCGGGGTCTCTCGGGAGCTATTGGGGACATTTTGGGGGCATAATTGGGGTATCTTGAGGCCTCCTGGGCGCCTCTTGGGGGCATTTTGGGAGCATCATGGGGTATCTTGGGGCCTCCTGGGCGTCTCTTGGGGCCGTCTTGGAGCACTCTCAGGAGCCTCGGGGGCCATCTTGGAGGTGATCGATCAAAGAAGAGAATGGTTCCAACTAGCGCCACCCCAGGTGGCCGAGAATGGCCGAAGACCCGAGTAGCATCCATGATTTTGGCCTTCTCGCCGAGGCCATCTTGGACGCTCTACCACGCCACCGCCCCCCCCCGTCCAGGTCCAGAGGGAGGGAGTAGGGGGAGGGGTCAACCCCTCCTCGAAGGGGAGGAAGGGGGAGGGGTGGAAGAGGAAACCGGCTAAACCACTCACGCCCTGAAGGGCTGGTGGGATTGCTGACGGATCATGTGATACCGTCTAGTACGTACAACCAGACAAAAAGGCATTGACGCATGGGTTCTGAGTTTCACCCTTGACATGCGACCCGCGCAGCCGCCGCAGTTGCAGCACATCTGTTGCCCTCTGTCGCCCTCTCTCGTGCTTGCCTGGAGGGCGACGTCATCCACGTGGACCACGAGGAGCCCAGGGCTTGACTCAGGAGGGGAAAAAACACACAGACACAGTGAATCGTCGACTCCCAGGAAAATATGGGAAAAGATGGGAAGTGGGGGGGAAGACGAAACTCCAGAACATATGGGAAAATATGGGGAATCCTGGAATTTGTGTGTATTTATTTGTATGTCCGTGGGCCCCTTCATTGACGCGCGGCCATAGAATCACTGGGGCATGGTTGAGTGGACCTGTGGGTGAGAGGGGGGTGAGGGGATCGTGCGGGAGTCACCGACATACAGTGACGGTTAAAGCAGCTTCAGACCAGTTGGGTGTTTGCTGGGCAACTTCGTGCCATCCTGAACACACAGCTGCGCGTCCTCCTGCCATCACTCGCCCGTAATGTTGACTGGGGGGGCGCAGAGGAGGAACAACATTATAGTCAGCAGCACCGGCAGGGCCAGGATCAGCAACAGCAGGGGGAGACGAGGAGCAAGTTGGATAAGATATCAGTTGAGGCCAAGGAGGAGAAGTATCGGAGGAGGATGAGGATCAGAGGGAGTTGCAGTAGCAATGTTCGCGGTATCAGCAGCAGACGCGGTGATGAATCATGATGGATGAACGTTGGTGGCCAAGGGTGGAATAGTAAGCCTAAGACAATGAGGACCGTTGCACTTGGGCGCAGACGCGGATGTTTATGCAGTGGGGGTTTCAGAGAGTTCGCCAGTTCAAGGGCTTGATGTCAGACAGCCGCCTCCCCTCGTCAGCGTTTTGAGAGTACATAGTTGGTAGGCCACTCCTCTTGCATCGTACTGTTGCGTACATGTGGTGTGTTTGTGATCAGTATGATTGTAAGCAAATGTCGAGCCTGCGCTCCCTCCATACTGTACCACGGGAGCGTGGGTTGTAGGGGATCCTATGTTGTCTGTGCTGTTCACATCTGGTTTTTTTATCAGTCGCTCACAGATGCGTTGTATACTGAAGCTGGGTCTTGATGGCAACTTGCGCATTATTGCGGGGGTGCATCAGCACGCATTGCAGGCGTATTGTGACGCAGTCGGCATCTCGATGCTACCGGAGTGCAATCACACACATTTATAGAGCTATGCTCATACCCACATGCATCCGTATACACACATATCTGTGTTTGTGTATAAATGTAGATGTGTATAAATGATTGCGTCCATGCAGCCAAATGCATGACCCCACTCAATCAATATACGCTTGCGTCGTTGTCTCGGCAGGGTCCAGGGGGGGCCCGAAAAAGAATCCCAGGGGCCCCCCAAAAACGTTCGACGGGCCCCTATCCATGCCTTTCAGGTTTGAAGAACCACAACCTTGAGTCATACGCTGTCTGAGTCATCCTATCAACAACCAGCTAAGCCACTGCAGTAACGCATTTCCGCATTTATCCCATCTCGCCTCAGCTGTCCAGCGGAGTACATGCACCATGACACCTGGTCCGACGCTTCAGTAAGCCTGAACACCCGCGTCGTTACGCCTGCATCCAGCCACGCCCATGACACAAAGCAACATCACGCCTGCATCCTTGCCTCGCCGCGGCTGCACGGCTGAACCACTGCAACCGGCCACATTCCTCGGCAACCCTTGCGCCAGTGCATCCAGACGCTTGTGCATCGTTATTCATTGAATTGTTACGCTCGGCCAGTGCACCCTCACGCCTGTGCCATTGTATCCGCGGTCGCCAGTCCCATCGTATCATCGTGCATGGGCACCGTCGTCTCCCAGCATCGCGGCCACCGCAATCTAACATGCCTTCGACACTGCGCCTCCAACCATTGAAGTCAGTGCGTTTGATCGCCTGCGTCATTGTCCCTGGTTGACATTGTATCATCACGCCTGGTCCTTTGCACCACCATGCCTGAGCCATCGCATCGGGGGTGGTGCTGCGTCTCGGTTCTGCCCCCCCCGCCCTGTAACGGTTTCTTTCGATCGTCCCCCGATGAGGATTCGAAAATATCGCGTGCACGGATCCGCGAGCCCTGGGGGTCCATTCGGGGGCCCAGGTAAGATCCCTTTCCACGCTTGCATGACCCCCACTGTTATGAACCAGCCTTTCCAATCACCATCACACGTGATCGAACGCATATGTCATTGTTTGTAATTTGTGTTCGTCCTTCCAAACATCACCAGCACATGTCAGCACACGAATATCATCACCCAGGAAGTGCATCAACAAACGCCTGGGCCACTTACATCGGAGGGCCAGAGTCACCGCGTCAGCAATCGCTAGAGACACTGCAACAACACCCCTGGCCCGTCGCACCAGCACGCTTGAGCACTTCCATCCGCACGCCTTTGCATAATGTTACCATGCCCCGTTCCACCACATGGCCAGCCACCCAAGCAATTGCAATAACCATGACACGCATGGCCAATCGCAGCACCGCCTGCACCATTACAGTACTGTTTCAGACACTGCTCGTCGCCATTTTCTCCATATTTCACACCGTCATACATAACAGTCCAGACATACATATCCTGCGAGTCCGTCCTTCCCATAGCGCCTTCGGGCGATGGAGTGAGACTTACCCGTCGCGCAGCACAGAGCACGCAATTGACTGTACAAGGGTGTTTCGATCGTTGAGCCGCGCGATTTTCGAAGACCTCCGAGGCCCCAGGCAGTTCACAAGTCAGCCTTGAGGATGTACCGGAAGGAGTCCCATTCCGCATTCCAATGGTGAATACGCTTGGGCGCTAGGATGATTAACACCATCTCTGGAGCCAAATATTCGTGGCAGACCATTCTGGACTGATTGATTGACCTTCTTACGCCGTGTCATGTCTCTTCGTCCCCTATCGGTGCTCCATGTTATGTCTCTTCCCTTCGCAGCTCTTCTGCCCACTCTCCCAACATTCCCACTGATCTGTTCCTTCGCAGCAGACCGTCTCCGACCCTCTTATTCATATTCTGTCCCTGCTCGTCTGCAGTCCATCCTTGCTCAAGTTGCCAAGGTTGTCTTGAGCTCACTGTAGCGGTGCCAAAGATCTCCGAGGAAGGTTGCGACATTTTGCCCATCTGCAGTCGCCACAAGACCCGTCTGAAGCAATCCAGTCGCGGTCGAGGTGCTTTTTGTTTTTCCTGCGTTTCGCGAGCGCAGCGCTGTGATCACGCGCATTGCACTGCGCCCACGGCGCTTCCTTTCGGCAAATCTATCGTGCCGGAGTGTTGTTCACTGCGCTATGTTGACCCATGCCGCGACGCAGACAGGGAATGGGTGCGCTGCTCCAACCATCCTGGTGCAGAGAACGGTCGACGAAGCGCATTGCAGGGAAATGCCACGCTTGCTCTCAAGGGAACTTGCTATGCAAGCTTGCCTCTCTCGGCTGTCCATCCATCCCTTGTTCCCTCCAAGCGTTCCCATGAAGGTAGCGCGCGTCATGCGCAGCCAGACGTGCTCAGACGTGCTCATACGTCATACGTACTCCTCTCGCGTTGCCCAGACGTGCTTGCATGATCCTGACCATCCTAAGTCCTGCTCCACCCCAGGGTGTCCTTCGTCGGGAAACCGCGCGCAGGGTCAGCATGTCTGCTCCGACTGTCTGCAAAACGCCCGCCCATGCTCCATATGCTTCCGTCGATGCGGGGATCCCGAAACACCTGGGCTATGCAGTTTGCGCTCGTCCAGTATAGCACCCGCAGCCTGGTAACCGATCCCGTCCGTTCCTGCTGCACCACTCCCCGCATTTCCAGTAAGTCAATGGACACACGATTCCATGGGTCCAGCGGGACATGCGCCATGTGCACGCTTGGGCTACCACATCGCCTCGCGCGCGCACATCTCGTGGTCCTTTGTGTTTCATGTGTGACCCACCTCTTGTATTGTGCATCTACGTCACTGTCTCCTGTATTCATGCGGTCCATTCGGTCGATACCAGCGCTTGCTGCCTCTGTCTCCCGTCGTGCTTCCACTGCTCTGCGGACGGGTGTCCTAATCGATCCACGCCAGGCAACATTCGCAACCCGATCCAACCACCCAGCCGAAGACAGCGCGAAGTTGTGACAACGAGTCATTCGGGTGCACCCAAAGGATCGGCATACGCAGCGCCGACCTCCTGTGAGCGACCTGCTCTCGACGTGGCCCTCCGTACGCGAACATGCGCCTCGGCTGCACGCGAGTGGGGATACGGATCGCAAGACCAGAATGCCAGTCTTGTCGTGCGATCGTGCCCCCCTGCACCAGACCTGCAGGCGCTGGCTGCAGAAATCCCAAACCCAAAGGGGTTCGCCGAGCGTTACCAGGAAATCGAGGCGTGTGTGAAGGGTGAAGGGTGCCCAGGTGCGCGTACTAGAAACACCGAGCCTTCCTCGCCAAGGGCCTCTGTTGTCAGTGCGCGTCCTGTCTGCCAGCGGAAACCCGCGGCAAAGATCGAGCTTCCTCTAGAGCACCCTGCGCGAGCTGCCCGCGTGAGGTCGCCTGCATCGTCCGAGACCACCGTCGAGAGCAACAAGCGCTGCCATACTGTGTTTCCTGATGCCGCCGCCCTGCCGTCCAGACTCGCCTGAAACGATAAGGAGCCGTGCGCGCCTGCAAGCTCCACCGCGCCTGTGGTTCGACGGCTCTGGAGGCCACATCGATGCCGGCGTTCAAACCGGGTACTGGGCTGGACGGTGTGCCTTGGAAGAGTGGAGGCCGCGAAAAGTGAGACGCGCGGCCTTATCCCCACTTGGACAGTTCGACCACTCCTGTTACTTCTGGGGGGCGTTCCTCTTTCAAAGCGAGCGTGTCCCTGCTTCTCCCGATCAGTCGCCTCCTGGCAAATTCTTCACGCGCTGTTGCCATCTCGGGAAGCTCGCATCGATTCCCATGCCGCCGTTGGCGCCATTGCCCCTTGCCGAACTCCTCCGACCTGGCCCCGTCCACGCTGATTTTATTGTATACACGCGTTCCTACACATGCGCCCTCAGATTTGCCTCCTTCAGTGACAAGTGCTCTTGCGCATCCGAGCGCTTCCGAGTACCCGGGAACTCCACAGGTCCACCTGCTTTCATCCTTCACGGACGACC